ATCAAGTATGACTTAAGGATTCCTTTCATCAGGGAAGAAATCCATCGAGCCACGGAGTCACAAAATGAACGTACCATCACCATGAAAATGAGCTAGTAAGGAAATTATTCAACAATGGTCCAGCCACAAGAAGACGAAGACTAGATAGAACCTGGCCTAAAGACTTCAAAACTAAACCAAAATAGAAAAAGGTGAGACAACATTGGATGTCTCCCCTTCACGTACAAAACTTGTAACAACATTACTGGATACTCTATAATGATGTAAATTGTAAATACATAATTATAATAAAAAAATAATAATTTCTACATTTTCATGTTGGGCTAAAATCTGGTTATTTTTTAAAAAAGTTATTGGTCACGAAAATGTTACCAAGCGCTGACCTGCATCCAAGATTGATTATAGAAGATATAGGATATTGCATTATCCTGCTCTAAACGCTACACCTGTCCAAATATAAGGCATGGGCCATTTTAAGAAATAAACCAGTTAAATACCTGATACTATTAATTATGTCATCTTTTATACATACAGGTGTAGCACCTCGCTGAGATATTAATTCCTCAAAGCATTATTTTACTGTTGTTCTTCCACTAAAGAATTAAAACTATTTTCTCATATACCGAAATATTTGAGTTTGGTCAATTGCGATAGGTTTTGCACACCTTTTCTATCTAAATATATAACTCTTTCTTTGTCTACTGAGCAGGTTTCGCAAAATTTAGATAAGTTGACAATCAAAAGTATTTGACAAATGGTGTCATACGAGTCCCGTTCTTACAAAACCTTCATTCTAGGTGAACCATAGATAAGAACACTTTTATAAACATTCTTTTAATGCTTCTTATTGAGTAATATTACAATTCTACCACAATGAGCAATTTATTTCTAAATTAAATTTCCTAAATGAATCGTAAGCTTAACCTAAATTCTTTCTCAACAATTTAGTTCTTAACAGATTACCGTCTTTTACACTACACTTTTACTGAACTAGCTCATAAGGTTTGGTCCTCTTGTAGCTGGAGTATCTCAAAATTCACTTGTCGATGAAGCCTATTTTCATGATCTTGGACATATTTGGAGATGGTCTGTCGAACCATATCAATCTTAGATGTTATACTTCTACGATATTCCTCAGTACCTTGTTCTGAAAGCGTTGAATGAGCTGAATCTTACAGCCTTATATTTGTATGCATAACTCCAAACAGGTTTAAGAATCTCATTGTACAGTAGCTGCTTGTTATATGTTAATACTGGGAGTCACGTCTAAGCAACCATCGCATTTTTTATATCTGATTCCAAGCTCTTTTCATGTTTGACATATGCATTCCATCGAAGATTTGTGTCAAGAGTGATGCCGAGATATTTTCCAGTATTTTCGTACCTAAACACCATTTATTTTGACTGGAATGTGGTGTCTTCCTCTATTGGTAAAATCGACTTTAATTTGGTTTACCAGTTTAGTCCAATTGTTGATCTGATCTAAGGCATTTTGCACTGCTCCTCATGGTTATTTCCGACTGATATAATTGCTGTATTATTAGCGACTGTAGCAACAGTATCGTTATTTGGTTCAGGGATGTCTTTTTTGTATAACAGTTAGATAACTGGTTTAAGAAGGCTTTCTTGTAGGTGTTATTTGTCTCAGATCAGAATATGCTTCTTCCTGCCTGATTCTGAAGCATCTGTCTGCTTCTATATATGATTGTAGCATTGATGTATTCTAGTAGTAAGGAATACTGCTCTATGTGTTAATCTTATGTGGAACACTTTGTCAAAAGTCGTGCCATATTCAGAAAAATTATAAATCAATATTTTTTTCTTCCAGTATCATTTCTACGATGTTAGTGATCCTGTGCACTTGACCGATAGTAGAACGGCTTTCTTTAAATCCAAATTGATGAAGTGGAATTAGATTTCTTTCTTCGATTATTGGTGTAAACCTTTTTATAAAGTTTTGGTACTACGGAAAATAGTCATATAATATATCTATATGGTATTACTTCGGGTGGTGGTTTGCCAGGTTTGGTATCATCATCACTTCTACCACTTAACAGAGCTTTTAGTTCTTTTGGACTAACAGGACTGATTTTCGTTCTATCAATGTTTATTTTAATTTGAGATTGAAAGTTGTTCTCCTTTTTGTGACCGAAATGTGTTTTCTGGATGATCTGCAAGTCTTGCAGCTTTTTCCAAAGGGAAAATCCGTGGTCTGATCAGAGTTCATTGCGATAATCTCCAATTTACTCCTGTCGAATACGCCTCGAATTCGTAAAGAAATTCGTAAAGAAATTATAGCGGCGAAGGAGATCTGGATGACTACACTTTGCGCCGAGGCTGAAAGCCTATATAAACTCGGCGACAGCTTCAATCTTCACAAGAAAATTAAGGAAATTGCTGGTGTCTTCAAGAAAAAACAAGTCACTGGTATACATAATGACCAAAATGAATTAATAACGGACCCTAGCGATATACTTAATACTTGGAAAATGTACACAGCCAATTTGAAAGCTGAAATTGTACACGCTATCAAACTATTAAAAAGTAACAAAACCCCAGGACCAGATGATATGTACGCAGAAACAATCAAGTTACTTAATGAAGAAACCTAGACATTATTGTTAAGCTCTTTAACGACATCTACGATACGGGCCAGATTTCAAAAGATTGGCTTCGATCTACATTTATCGCCCTACCAAAAACACCACGTGCGAACTTCTGCAAGGACCACCGACTAATAAGCCTAATGAGTCACTTTTTAAAACTTTTCCTGAGAATACTTCACACTAGATTGTTTAAGAAATGTGAAGAGGTCAGTGGATGGAGTCAGTTTGGTTTCAAAAATGGACTTGGCACCAGAGAAGCGATCTTTAGTATGCAAACATTGATACAGAATTGTTTAGATCAAAGAAAGGATGTTTTTATCTGTTTCATCGATTACGAGAAAGCATTCGATAATGTAAAACACGAATTGATGATAAAATAAATACAAGAGCTGGGATTGGATGCAAAGGATATAAGAATCATCGCCAATCTGTATTGGAATCAGACAGCAACAGTACGTCTTCAAAATTCCAACGAAACAGAAGATTTCTCCATTAAAAAAGGAGTAAGGCAAGGTTGTATACTGTCCCCAATGCTGTTCAATTTATACGTAGAAAAAGCCTTCGCAGAAGCAGTGGAAGACTCTAATAAGGGTATTAAAGTTAACGGCATATTTATTAATAACATCAGGTATGCCGATGATACAGCCATAGTGGCAGATAACATCGAAGATCTTCAATGCCTTTTAAATGATCTAACTCTTGCAAGTGAAGCTCGGGGTTTGAAAATAAATATCAAGAAGACAAAATCAATGATTATAAGTAGAAATGATTACCCCAACGCAAAGATATATGTCTCTGGAGAAGAAATCGAACAAGTCAGGCAATTCAAATACTTGGGATGTTTGCTGAATGAGGGTTGGGACCCCGAGAATGAAATAAAGAGCAGAGTTGAACAAGCCAGAAATGCTTTTTTGAGGCTTCGTAAGTTTCTGACTGATCGCAAATTGGAATTCAACCTCCGATACAAGATGCTTAAGTGTTACGTGTGGCCTGTTCTCCTGTACGGAATGGAAGCATGGACGTTAAAGGCCAGTTCCATTAACAAACTTGAAGTGTTTGAAATGTGGTGCCTGCGTCGAATGCTCAGAATATCATGGACGGACAGGGTCAGAAATGAGGAAGTACTCAGAAGAGCGGGCTTACAGGATAGGGAACTTTTTAATTATGTAAAAAGTAAGAAGACTGCATACTTGGGGCACATTATACGAGGAGAACGATACACTTTTCAGCAACTGATACTCGAAGGGAAGATAGAGGGTAGGAGAGGTCTCGGACGTAAAAAATGTCATGGCTGCGCAATATTCGACAATGGACAGGAATCCACAGCTATGAAATGCTTCGCAATGCTGCTAAAAACAGAATTATTTAATCCAGATCAATATTTAACATCTCACCTGACAAGACGATGTACGGTGGGACGCCTACGCAGAAATGCACGGCACCTTAAGAAGAAGAAGAATACGCCTGATTTCACGTTTTAGTTGTTGGGTAGCGTTGTTCAGTACAGTTTTGTTTGCAGGATTTCTGGTTTGATGCCATTACCTCGTAGTCCTCTTTTCTTAGCTATTACATCCCTTATTTCGTTAGATCGGATTTTGCTGTTCGCGATTTTTGTCATAGGCAGTTAACAGCACCAAAAAGGATTCCAATTCTCAGATTTGTATTTATAAACTTATAATCGCATAAAAAAATTTTTGCAATATTTATGTCAAGGGAATGAAAATGGTGGATAGCAAATTAACTTTAGATTCCCAAATGTCAGCTACACACAGAATATTACGTGGATCGGTTGTTTCATATTATGATCCTGAAACTTTTTTCTTGCGACATGCTTCATATTAAATATTTAATAGTTTTACTATTGAATTTACTATTGAATATTTAATATTTACAGTTTACCGTTTAACAAAATTTTACAATAAAACGACAATAAAAATATTCTGTACAGAAATCTAGCTTCCGAATATTGTTTTAAAATTTTCGTATAGTCGTATATACACACCGTCGACATTGTACGTTTCGCTGGACGTGTGTTAAAAATTAGTGATATCAAAATTCTCATGAAGGTAGACAGGCAGCTTTCGATCATTTCATACCTACCTTTATAAATAGAACTCAGTTCCCAGTATTCCGAGTCGGAATCTCCCCATCTCGTTCTCTCTTTAACTCGACGATCTCGCTTCTCTCTCGTTACCCTCTTCCATGAAAAATACATGAGTAAACAATTCAATAAGCAACAAAAGTCTTGTAGACCGACGTTTTCAGATTGGTTAGTACGTAGTATGCATATATTCACAAGTTACGAGATATTATAAACCTCCATTTTGAAACGATAATAATTAGGCGACGACTGTAAAATGAAACAACTTGGCATTTCATGAAATTGGTCGAGGCATGAATCCACGGAAATTTGTATACGGGGGTCGCAGTAAAAAGCGACAAAAAGCAGTTATCGGGGTCAGACATTGCGGTGGAATTATCTTGATGCTTGATGGTAAAAAAATTGTTTCAGTTGAAATGTAAAATGTTTTATATTTTAAATAGTTTCAAGCAAGTTGACTAACTAAAAGTATTTGTATCATTCATAATAATCGTGTAAAAGTTTAAAAATAAAATATTTAAGCGGCACTCCACAAGGATCTACTCTAAGTCTTACTCTCTTTCTATTTGCAATAAATAGTATTATACATCAAATAAAACTACCTGTATTTACTAGCCTATATTCAGATGACTTAGTTATTTATCTAAGAACAAACAATGTAACTCTGGGAACATATATACAGAAAACTACCTTACCCACAATTGAAAGCTGGTCGCAAAACACGGGTTTTATCTTCTTTAGTGAAAGACACGTTATTTAATTTTTAGCAAAAGAAAAAATTATCCTAATGTTCAATTAACACTAAATGGAGTTGTCCTGAAACAAGCAGAAGAAATAAATTTCTTAGGACTTTCTTTTGAACGTAACTTAAACTGGGAAACCCACATCACCAATCTGCAACGTTCTTGACAATCCAGAATTAATCTACTAAAAATGCTGTCAAGTACCTCTTGGGGGCAGATACAACAACCTTACTTACTCTATATAGATCACTAATACGAAGTAAACTAGACTACGGCTGTTTACGCTATGATACTGCTAACAAAACATCTTTAAAAAAACTTGACTATATTCAAAATATGTGCTTGAGACTAGTTTTAGGTGCAACAAGAACTAGTCCAGTAAGTAGCTTACAAGCTCTGGCTAATGAACTGCCCTTAAGCCAACGAAGAAAACTCCCTATCACTAAATTACGTTGCCAGAATTTCAGCAAACAACAGTAACGTAACCTACTCAACAATACTTTGCAGAACAAATATATCGTTCGATCTTTACAGAAACATTGCAATAAAAAACTACCATTTCCTAAACGAATAAAACGTATTGGTCCTAATTTAGAACAGTTCAGTCTTACTATGCCTATTCATGTAAATGTTCCTCCTTGGATGATCAAACCTCCAAAAATAGACACGTCTCTAAAAGAACTCCCGAAACATTCCACACATCCTTTCCTTATACAGCAAGCTTATAAAAATATAATATCCAAATACCCAACAACCCATCGAATCTTCACTGATGCTTCCAAATGTGATGAAGGACATGCTACATCTACGAAAACGTTAAGTCTACCATACGAATACCAACAAATTGTTGTATATATACCGGAGAAACTTACGGCAATTCACCAGGATATGAAAAAATGTGGTTCAATCAATGAAAGCAAATTTGTTATCATCACCAATTCAATGAGCGCATTACTTGGAATAAAACAGCTATATAAAACTCACGCCATACTTCTCAAGATCAAAGAAGAGTTATCTTATCTACAGACCCAACAAAAAGATATTTCCTTCATCTGGGTACCTTCCATATGGGAATAAGTGGTAATGAGGAAGTGGACTCTGGCAAGCAATGCAACCACCGACCAAAGTATTGCTATCATAAATCAAATGCCTTGGACTGATCACAAAGTAAATATCGAAGCCCACATATCAAAGGAAAAAATCACAGGGAGCCAAGTCCGATGAATATAGCGGCTGAGGCCTAACGAGGATGACTTATAATCTGGCGCATTATCGTAATGTAATAACCATGGCTTGTTCCACAATTTTGGCTGTATTTTCAAATTGCTTCGCTCAGACGGCGCATAACTTCAAATTAATGTTCCCGATTGACCGTACAACCTTCTTCTTTTCATTTCTTTAACGTTTTCAAAGTTGTTGCCTTGATGGGTCGTCCAGAGCAGGCAGCGTCATTGACATTTTCTCGAACATTTTAAGTGTATCGGAACACTGATTTTGTTTTCCATACAAAATGAAGTTTTCCTTTCTTCTTCTTTGAGTCTCTCCTGTCGGAGATTGGATAATATTAGGGCGATTCTAATTTTATTTACTGCTGTTTTGAATAATTCGTTAGTATTACATTCTTCTACGGCCTGGATTTTTGCACCCTTGGATTTTTCCTTGCATTATATTTTGTAGGAATGTGTACTTTTGTCCTCTTATTAGGTGGGCTAAGTATTTAAGTGTTCTCTTTTTTTTATATTAAGTATAACTTCTGGATCGTTATTTATTCTGCGTATTACCTCTTCATTTGTAATTTTATCCAGCCAACTTATTTTTAGTGTATGGCGGTAACACCATATCTCAAAGCTTTCAAGATTTCAAAGCACACCAAAACATGTCTATACAGAAAAACAAACTAAAAATTGATACTGGCTTATAATGTCAACATATATCTTGGGAACATGTCCTGCACCCCTACATCCCACACAACCGCTACCGTTGGCTCTTAACACAAGGATTCTTTTTGACGATTGTTTTGTTGTGATGGTTTTTCTTCTCAATATGCTCTTTTCACAGGTAACACAAAATATTCCTTTTTTTTATCCTTCGTTTAAAGTCGACAAAAAGGTTTTCAGTTTTCATCTGCTATAGAAATGGTCCATGTGTTGGATTTGTGTGTCAGCACTGGTAAAATAAGGCTTTGTGTATTGTTATTTTTGTTTTCCAGCCTAAGTCTCTGCTGTTTAGTGGGTTACTCAGCACAAAGTAGCACTTATTTGCTAAAATTATCTCATTGATTTTTATTTAGTCGTTTTTCAGAGTTTTTATTGGGCTTAAGTGGGCCTAAATACGTGAATTTGTGTACTACATCAAAGCTGATATTGGCTACAATGAAATTTTCAAGACAGGTATTTCTGACTGTGTTGGGTATCGATCTCCAATTACTTGTCCTTACTTGGCGAAAAAGGAGAAATTTTGCCAATAAGGGATCATTTTCTCTAAAGTACAAGTTAACAAATAACTCCGATACTATGTTTGGCATAAATTTTCTTCAAAATAAAAAAGCTTCCAGCCCTCAGGCATTTACATCTCCGTGTGGAGTATCACAAAAACCCTTGGAGTATCTCAAAACAATAATGCCTTCAAATAGATTACAATTTTGGCAAAACCTTGAGGAAGATAAGGATTAATAAGATAATTTCTTTCTATATTTAATTTTTTTCTTTGTATTAAATTTTGTTTTACTTTGCGATTCCTAATATTACTTACGATTTTTTCCCTGTATCTGCCATACTAAGCATAAAATTAGGATAAACTACTGCTCCTTTTTTTAAAAACATAGTTTATTTACAGATTTATTGATATAAAGTAAAGTCGTTTCTTAACCGCATTGTTGTAACAATTTTCGCCCTTTTGAAAAGTTGCAGATACTTTGAAGTTCATTTACTTATTATTATAAGTACTGCTGATGCTATGATTTTCCTTAGGAGGGCAGTATTACACTATGATGAGTTGATTTAACATAAATGAAAAAATGAAACATGTCCGCATTAAGTTTATTGTTTTTTTTTTCTAGTATTTGCTCTAATGTTTCATTATGTGTTTGAATTTTTAATATTTAAAAAGTGTTTCATACTTTCTTTACATTAAAATAAATAATTTCAAACACTAAAAAAACATGAAGAAAGGCAGCAAATATTTGATTTCACGCAAACAAATCCTATGTATCTCTTGATACGTATTTCGACCTAATAGTCTAGTCAGAAGAGCTATTCATAGGAGTCCTCAACGTGAAAAATCAATATTTTCTGCCTTTTAAGAAGCAACAATAACATGGCTTCAATACGGACGCAATAGCGACATCTAATTACAACAATCGTAAAATAGTTTCGAAACACAATTCAGATTTCTGCTTTATAATCTGAGCCTTCTAAAAATTGCAAGGCAAACAGACGTTGATAAAAGATGTTAAAAGAGACATGGGGAATCTAAAATTTGCATTCCACGACATGTATTTTACAACTAAGCAGAAATCCTTAGCGAATTGTGCTTCTAGTACTCACACAGAGTAAATCCGAATATGCCGAATCCGAATGCCTTTCTTCATTTTATTCGGATTTACTCTGTGTGAGTACTAGAAGCACAATTCGCTAAGGATTTCTGCTTAGTTGTAAAAGACATGTCGTGAAATGCAAATTTTAGATTCCCCATGTCTCTTTTAACATCTTTTATCAACGTCTGTTTGCCTTGCAATTTTTAGAAGGTTCAGATTATAAAGCAGAAATCTGAATTGTGTTTAGAAACTATTTTACGATTGTACTAAAAAAACAATTGAACAGTATTTGAATATTCATATTTTATAAGTAGCACAGTAGTCACAACATATTCGTTACAACTAAATGCAATGACGTATTGTTCTACAAAGAGATTCAACTGTTTCTTAATTGATCCATATTATTGTAACGTTATTCATAATTAAAAAAACATTGGTGTCTTCAAGAAATTTGGATTAACAGTAAAGTTTGCAGACAATCGTGTCTTCAGTAACATATCTTCCGTCTTACCTAACGATATTTATTTTATTAGAGTATAGTATATTATTTATTCTTCCACCATTATTTGTAATAAGCATTTAGCAATTACTATTTTCTTATGCTTAACTTGTTTTGATCTTGCAATACAGTTTTGACTACTCTTCCGACTCCGTGTCTAAGACCATTCTTGCCCATGAATTAATCCATTTTTCCCTCTCAATATCCATATATTAAATGTTTGTAAAGGTGTCATAGAGAGTTCAACTGAATGTAGAACCAATACTATGTTAGTATTATTCTTAAATACATTCCGACAGTTACTCAACGCTATATTCTTATGAAATTGCATTTTGAATAGTTATAGAATAATTATAAACAGCAAATTACTTTATTAGTCGCGGTGAAAGTCTCGGTATCTGCTTACGAATACAATTTGGATCATGTGCAAGTGTGTCAGATTTGTAAAAATCTTCAAAGAGGTCACTGTATGTATAATTTTATAACTATCGAGGTTTCTATAATTATATCCAACAATCAAAGACTTGATTCCGAACGGTTGCAAGAATCCGCGAACTTTACAAATATTCTGAAAAATTT